ATCTCAATACACTTATCTCTAACAAGTGTGAGTTTAGGATCCAATGCACACAGTTTAATAAGATTCGTATCGGACCCTGGGTCTACGAGGAGCATAATCTTTTCATGCCTGAATTCTGGGGCTCTTACATGGACTACTGGGGAGTCCTGGGTCTCTGTTCCTGTTCTAAAGACCCGACACTGTTCTCGAAGAATTGAACGCGGTTCTGACGCTGCGGGGTTGGGCTCGCTGCTGCGTCTTGACGACGAGCCATTGGGTAGTTTAAATTTCCCGTTGGAGCGGGGGAAATTGCTCTCGGAGGAGTCACACTAGGTCGGTAGTTTTGGTTCTGCCTGGGGTGTTGGTTGTGTGACTGCAGTTGAGGTTGGATAGGTTGTTGAGCTGGATATTGGAAGGGTTGATTTGGATAGTATTGGGGATTGTGGGATGGGATAATTGGATGAGGAGAGGGGTAGGGAAAAGGTGGAGGGTACTGGGGCATCATTGATTTGTAAAACTGCCCAAGTTGCTCAGGAGTGAGTTGAAGGACGTTGGAATGTCGATGGTTTGGTGTGGGGTTTTGAGAAGTTATTTCTCGGTCTGATCTTCCCTTCCCTCCAGAGCTGCGCTGCTCTAATTGTTTCGAATAAGGGCTTGGGGAGCGCGGTCTGTCCTCTGCTCGCGATATGTGGTATGAGGAGGAACGCGGTCTGTCGAGGTAATTATCTCGTTCTTCAGCATGAAGTGCGTACTCTAGAGCTTCCTCGATATTGCGTGGGTTGCGCGCGTCTACGAATTTTGATATTTCCGTAGGCAAACCCTTAATATAAGCGTCTAGGGCACATTCTACAATTGGTTGTAGAATGATATCGCACTCCCTGCGTCTAACGTTCCTGTTTTCAGTGTTAACCTCTTTGTAGATCTTACCATACTTGGGTTCAAGGGCTTGTCGAGCTCCGCTAATCAGGTCTTGCAAACGATCATAGTAATCATTCGCGTTTTCTGTCTGTTTTTGCTTTATGGTCACGATATTTTCGAAGTACCATTGATATTTCTTTGTTTGCGCGAAACGTTTCTTCAAATGTTCTAATAATTCCGCTAGTGAGTGGAATTCTTTATGTTTACAACTCGCATGAGCTTGGCCATCTAACCGACTTAAAACTGCTCTTATAAATTCCGGTTCAGCTACATCAGTGATGAAAAGTCCCGCTCGTTTTACCGCCTGAACGAATTCTCGTAGGGGTGGTTGTTTTCGTTTTAAGGTTAGTTGTTTTGTTAGTTTTGACAAACAGATAGTCATTTCAAGATAGAAAAGGAGAGGAGAGAAGAATTTTAATAGTAGTGTGAGTGTAGAATAAAATGCTTATTTGAATATCGCAAGGTGAGGATAACGCCACCGCGGAAATTCCTGCAGCTTGATGCGAAAGAGAAAAAAAAATAAACAAGATGTTGTGATTTAAACTTAAGTTTTAGTCCCTTGGGAAATGAATTAGAATTTCTTCGAAATGTTTCTACCTTTTGAATTTTCTTCGTTCTGATTTTGATTGTATTTATTATTAATTTCACGGAATTTTATACAAAATCTACCTTTCTTGTTCTTTTTCAGTATTTCAGTGGGGACGGAATAAGGGGCCCAGTTCGAGCCTTCATTAGACATGTTAGGAGGTCCCTATTTAGTCTATAATTTTAAGCTTTGCATCAATTGTTCTAATTTTAGCATAGATGAATTTATTCTAACAGCCTTGTCACTTTCTTCACCGATTAATCGAAAATAAAAGTCTAGTCTTCCTCTTAATGTTCTTAAACGGGATTCCTGGAGGATGTTTAACCTTCTTAATTTATTTCCCTCGCGTATGAGGTATGCCAAATATCCTTGTAATTCTAACAAAAACTCTTCGGAGTTATCAAAAGGAATCTCTTTCCACTCGGGAGTCATTTATATTTAATTTCTTTTAAAGTTAATTTTTTAAATTCGACAACAAGGTTATCTATACTATTTTGTTGCTCGCTTATTTTCTTCTCGTATTCCTGAATTTTTTCCGAAAAAGAAGCATTTGAATCCGCGAGAGTGGCTAACCAAAGTGACAAAAATTTTGTTCTTTTCTCTAATCTCTCAATCTGGCAAGACGAGGCTGAATGATGAAAGACAAGTTGATTATAAAATTTCTCTACGTTTTCCACCCTCTCGATTATCTCATCCCATTGATCTTGAGAAAAACCCGTAGGAATTCTAGTAAATCGGGGAAACATTGATCTTACCAAATTAAAGAATGTGACGCAAAAAAAAATATTTTTTTTTTTTTATTTACTGTAACTAACAAAATAATATAAATCCAACACAACGAACAACTTGTTGCTAATCGCGATTTCCAATAATATATGGTCGGGGTTGTCTCTGGTTTCTAATTCTTCTCAAATTTCTTCGTCTGATAGCCTCTTCGATAGGAATGACTCCTGGAGGTGGAGGAATCACTTCAGTAAAAATTGGGGGCTGAAACCCAGAGATGGGAACAATGTCAGGAATTGGTTTTCGATAGCACATTCAGGGAAACGATTCTCAGTCAATGATCATGATGTCACTGTCATAGTCAATCGTAGCGTCTGAGTTGCTGTCAGGTTGGTTGTTGTGATTATTTACTGTCGGTTGCCTGATGTGATTTTCCTGGGCATAGGCTAATTGACGTTGCCCTAGGGCTTCTTCAATGTCAAGGTCCATTTCATTAATAGGGAGTTGTGGCAAGACTGGAATGGGTTGTATGACTGCAGCCTGTCTTGGGATTGGTGTAACTCTACAAATCAGTCGAGACCTTATTGGTGGATTCGTAAGATTATAATATAATTCTGATCCAGGTGTTTTGGTTGCTCCTTGTGCGCAATTATCGTGTCGTTTACCGGCACGTTTTCCTCTTTTGGGTTTTGTAGGATTAGAGGACATTTTGGAAAAACATTCTGGAGTAGGTTATTAGATTTCAAAATTTCTTTTTTTTTTTTTTGAAATAAATAGTGTAGCAAGTTTAACAAATTCAGCGCGGAAGCTCTCCTAGGCGGGAGATCAGTACTTACAACAGCGCTTCTGAGTGTAAGAAAGTAAAAAGGAAATGGTTTCCTCTTTACTTAATTTCCGAAGAGGTCACTCAGATTCGACAAGGAAGTGTTCCCAATCTTACGGCCTTGTACCCACAACCAGCGATTTTGATTCACTAATTGTTAAAACTAGTGAAAACTAATTTTAACAGTCACGTGTTTGAAACACTATTTTGATTTAGAAGTTAGGGACTTAGCTGTAAAGGAATTAGAAGGAATTACTGGTTAGCCATTAAAGTCCCAAATCAATTGCGCTTTTTACTCCCAAAATACCTGGGGTTACCAAGCAACTCTCTGAGTAAAAGGGGTGCACGACGTGGAAACACAATTCGGTGTTTTCGAACTGTAAGTAAACAACGCCCAAAATCTCGGCGTAATTGTTGTTAATGCAATCTCCAGTAGGGTGACCAAGAATAGGACAGTTATGTTTTAATTCAGTCTTGCAAATGTAGTTGTTTTTGACATTACAGTTAACGGGGATGGTTGTCACTTCGTGTTGTAAATTTTCTGAGGATATTGTAATCGTTACATCAGAGTCGTCGTCAATTGGAATCGTCATGTTTCACAGTTTTGGGCATAATAACGCAGAATAAAACAAATGTCGAGTTATTCCGATAAAGGTTTTCGAAATTTTGATAAAGGGATATTGACAGCTTCTATGCTTCTAACGAGAAGAACCTGATCTGATGTTCGAGTGACAAGATCCGCTGATCTTACAAGATTAAGGGAGAGTTTCCTCAACTCGTTCTGATTTACAAGAGCGTGATCAAGAAGTGGATGAAGTGGGTTGTATGTCAAAAAATAATGTGCCCTTGGTCGTTCTACAAGCTGTCTTCGTCTTATATGTCGCGTAATGGGAACTTCTTGAACTGAAATGCAGTGCGGTTCAGGAAAAGCGTTTTCGTTGATCACAGGTATACTTTTTACGACCGGTTCAGCACTAGCTTCTGTTTTTACAACTCGAAGGGATTCTAATTCGATTTTTGATTTTTCCAAACTTCCCAACTTAGTGCCCTTAATTATTTTTTTGTTTCGTGATTGATTTCGTTTCTTAGAACGACCACCACGAGGTCTAACCTTTTTTGACATGTCTAGAAAAATACATGACTTGAATAGTGAAAAGAAGAAATAAAACCTTTCAACCCGGACAAAATTCTCCTTATTCAATACAAAATAATTTTCCGGAGCCAATGTTATGAATTCGGATTATGTCATCATCGACGACCAAGGTCGGAGAGCCAAAATCAAATTAGGATTATGTCATCATCAACGACCTGAGTCGGAGAGCCAAAATCCGTAATTTTACTTATTCAAACAATGTCATCACGTACTAATCATTTAATACTGAAATTTTTTAGAACGTTTGCCGCGTATCCCTGGTTTATTAGGCATAACAGAAAGAATTCATGATCTTGAGAAAACCAGTAGTATTTCTAATTGTTTTGATTTTATTTCTGATCAATTAACTGAAATCAACTTTCTATTGTGATCAAGTCGTCATCAACAACCGTAGTTGGAGAGCCAAGATCACGATCGGAAATAAGTCGTCATCAACGATAAATATCGGAGAGCCGAATTTCCAATTTACAAGAAAAGATATTCCGTTTATGATCGTCAACCCCACCGCTGCCACCATCAGCTTGTTACAAACCAGAAATTTATTTATTTAAATTTTATTTTATTTAAATCGAGCTTTTGAGATGGCCCTAAATTTTAGTTTGGGGGAGGCACCAAGCTGCCAAGGTCTGAAGGACCCTGTTTAAATTTTGCGGGATCGTTATCTTACTTTTAAAAGTTGTGCTCTGCTTCGTTGTTTTCTTTGAATATTTGGTTGAAAATCAATTAGTTATGGTGTTAAAGCAAAAGGAGTTCAGTTGAAAGGTAAGTAAAATTTAGTAATTTTATTTATATTTGTTCTTTTATTCAGGAAAGAAAATATTGTGGTTAACAAGTGAATGTAAAAGTTTAATACAAATAGAGCGGTTAATGTTGAACGATACAGAATTTACTTACGACTACCGACGTCAGCTAGAGATATTCTTGTTGTCGTCGGGCAAGAACGCTTTTAATTACACTTAACTTGGTTGTCTTTACAACCTATTGTTCGAATTTTACAGGTTAAATTATTTGGTTTACCCGAATAAAATGTTTTTAACACTGCGTTGTGGGGCCACTGCAACGAAACGGCGCAGGCGCTACACGCACGGACTGGCCGGTTATTTATTAAACAAAATTCGGTTTAGTGAAATATATTTACTAAACCGAATTTCTCCCGCTACAGCTCTCACGTGGACTTCGTCGGTTAGAAGACTTCTATTTTATTTTTCGTCCGCCTTTCGTGTTATACTTTTAATCTAAGTTCTACACGGGGGTCCGACGCGCAGACGGGCTAAGTCGCGGCGTTCTTGAGGTCTCGCAACACTTACCAGGCTAGAGCCAGGAGATGTTGCTCGGAAGAGTCAAGAAGTTGTACTGCAATTAATTAGATTTTGCGACTAGCCTCTAGTCCTTGCCTTCAGTGTCAAGGTGGGGAAAACGAAAATTTAGATGGAAGTAGGGGAAAATTCCTGGGCCCGGTGGGAGTTGCAATTTTGCTGATCTTTTTGATTCCCATGCAGGCTCCGTGAGAACGGAAATGGTCTGTTAATATGATACATTTCTGAAAATTATTTTAAAATAATTAAATTAAATTATAATTTACTTAACAAAATTATAATTTAATAACATAAATTACAATATTATTTAACAAAATTATAATCCAATTTCATTATAAATGGTGTAATAATTTATTGCAATTATTACAACCCATATAGAGGATAGCAAGTAGGTTTTACGCACAGATAAGGCAGCGAGTAGAGGCAAGCATTGCGCGTGTGTGTTAGTGCCCGTAGCACGACGAGTCCCATGGTGGTGTGAGTCTTGTAACCGAGAACCCACGAGCGCACCGTAGTTTATGCACGGCTGTTTCGTGTCCGTATGTGTTGCGCTGGTCGTCCCCCCACACATACACCACAAGCGGTGAATTGTATATGTTCGAATGTATATTTTCTTTTTTTTTTTTTTTTTTGCATTTACTGTTACATATATATTTTCTTTAATATAATTCCTTTTGTATTCGTTACATCATTTTTTTCTTTAATATAATTCCTTTTGTATTCGTTACATCATTTTTCTTATAAAACGTAGTCTTGTTCGCGCAATGTTGCATCTCGACATTTTCTTCGCAACATTGCTGCAGCAAATACGCGTGGTGCTTGAACGAGATGGATGACTAATATTGCAACTATGTTGATTTTCGCCATGATGCTTCACAACATTGTTACAATGTTTCCAATAATAAAAGACATATGTAACGATGATAAAATAGATGTGCAACCTTGCGACAGTGATATTTTTCGCTATCTGGCTTCATAACACTGTCACAAGGTTACCCTCTAGAGACATATATCATTTTTTTTTTCTTTTTTTTTTTTTAACTTAATTTATAATATTTTATATTTGAAAGAAGGGTGCCGAGCAAAGAGTATTAGCGAGCTGCCGACGGTTCCTTATCAGGGTGTCAGGTATCCGTAAACAAGATCTTGCCTCTCATAGCGAGTCTTGTCGACGAAAAGAGATTAAAATATAATAGGCAGTGTTGCCGAATATTAATTGAATTTTAAATGGTTGCAGTGAAGCAACTAAATATGTAACAGTGCTACAGCTGTATGAGATAAATTATTTACAATTGCAAACTTTAAATAAATCATTAAAAGTTCCCCTTTACTTATAACTATTGGCGTAGAAATAATATTTAATGTTTCAGGGGAATGTATAATTTTATATAATTCATTGTTAGCAAAAAGTGGATTGAAAATTTCACTTCCATCTGCATCAATTTCCATACTCTCTTCAATTTCGTTAATGGGAAAGTCATAAGGATAGTTTTCGTTGTCGCTGTCATCATCTTCGCTGTTACTGTCGGAAAAGTCTTCAATTGTTTCTTCGTATTCACTTTCACGTTCGTTAGAATAAACATTATTATCATGATTAGCATAATTATCATCATGATCAGAATTATTTTTATCACCTTCGCTATTATCATTAGCAACAACATCTTGATCAGCAGAATTCAAATGCATGTTGCATGGGGAATAATCTTCTTCAGCATCTTGCTCAGCAGAATTCAAATGCATGTTGCAAGGGGGATAATCTTCTTCAACATCTTCGCATATCTATAAGAACATTGTTATAATTGGGAAATTATTATTAAATTTTGAAGGTTATTATTATACAAAAATAAAATTTTAATTATTTATATATTACTTTTGTTTAATTAAAAAAACATTGAGAAAACAGAGTGTTTGTTCCTTTACATTTTAAAGTGTCGTAATTTTTGGCCTAGCCACTGCTCCTCAGAGTATTAATAGGAGTATTAAAGAGACTCTCTGGTGTAGAATTAGTAAGTAGCATACTATTTTAAACTCTTATAGTGAAAAAATATTTCGGTTACTGTAAAAAATCTTTTCTGACATTTTTTTTCTCATAAGAAAAGAATTATGTAATTTTTGTTTGAGAATTATCAGTTTACTTTCGCAGTTGATATGACTTTTTCCAAAAGATGCATTTTTTGCAAGATAATTTCCTACTCTATTTTAGATTTTAACAGATTTAGACCATTGATAAGATTGGTAAAAAAGTATTGAGTGAAGCGGTTGAAACAGTGAAATTTGTTAGTGAAATGGAAAAAAACAAAATTTGTCAAATGTGGCTACATTGACCATATAAATGAATGAGGTAAGTTTAAATGTACTAAAAGCAATCTACTGTTCACTAATAGAAAGTTCCTAGAAAAATCTGGTAAATTAAAACATTCAGCACATTTGACACAAATTTTGAATATTTACAGTTTTATGAAAAATAATATATTTTTTAATTAAATTTATTGGACATCTTGGATCTGCTATTTTCAGTTATATAAATGTGACTTTAAGTTCATAATCAGCGATCACGAAAATATTACGCAACACTTTAAGGGTGGGGAACGGTGAATTAATTTGTGACAACCTGCAGAAAAAGTGTCTCTAATTAATGTAATAATGTGTGACATGGGGAGGAGGGGGTTAGAAATCGTCAAAAATAGTGTTATGTAATATATATGTTCGGCCCTTCAGCCAAATCTTACTTAGTTCATAACTTTATCAATAGCTGTACAAAAAAATTTGGTTTAATAATTCTTTTTCTTGTCGATATTATAAAAAAATGTTTACACTTTTTATAGTAATTTTTACAAACGCGATGTATTTTGGATTATAATTTGTTGGTTTTTACAAGTACGAAGGCTACATTTTAGAAAAATGGAAAAGAATGATATTGCTTACAGAGTCACTGAAAGAAACGTCATTCAACTGTCCAGTGGTCACAGATTAATGCTTTACACATATATCAAACACCTTAAATAATTATATTTAATTTCGCGTTTTCGGCACATGTTCACGATTCTGTTAAAGAACAACTTTTTAAAACAAAAAAAAAGTTGTTTTAAATTTTTTACCAGAAAGTCTCTTTGCAGTTGTAATTTGGTCTTTAATATATACATAAGATTTCTTGAAATATTAAAAGAATCAATTAAAATGTAATTACTTGTTCTTCATAATCGTTGCATTCATTTTCTTTTGCTGCTTTCTTTGTTCGATCTCCTGCCTGTAAAAGTTTGAAGAAGTTTTTTTTAAATTTAAAATATCGAATTGTAATTAATATTCGTTTTATGCAAAAAATAAATTATAATATAATCATATGATTACCTATTTCTTATTTAAATCTTAATATAAAAGTTTAAAGAAAAAATAATGTTTAACTCCACTTACAACCAAGGACAAAAATGACAAAAGATCAGCCGATTTTTATGTATACAACCAGCTCAAGTCCATCTTTGAACTTAAAATCATACTGTGAATTCTAAAATTTTGCCATAATTCAAAGTTTGTAAGTAAGTGGTATCAGTGAAAGTGGACTGAAATCAAGATTCAGCTTTTACATTGTAATTATAGCTTACTGGCAACAGTCTTGATTTGTGTATATAAGATTTGGCAGTTCGGACAATTGAGCAAACGGCTTGCTCAATTGTCTAAAATGCATTTGGACAATTGGGGTGTTTGTTCAATTGTCCAATGCATTATGCCCAATCATCCGCAATATTTCTCGTGTCTAAAGAGCTGCTAAAATAATATGAAAAACTATTGAAACATTGAAAAAACGGTAGAAAATGCATAATTCTTGATATATACAGAAAAAGAAAGTATAAAAATACCGCGATCAAGGAAAAGGAAAGAGTTTTCCGAAAAATCACTTTTTAACTGACAGTATACTGCTGTACTTGACAATTTATGGGTAAAGAAGAGAAGATTATGAAAATGAGTGACACTTCATTACCGACTTAAGGGGGGAACACCAGTTGTAACTCAAGAAATAATGCTTTTTACAAGTATATTTTCCAAAAGAACAATGAATCTTTTTAAAGAATACTATTTATTAGTTAAAAGTACATGTTAAAAGCTGTAATTTAAAAGAAAAAAAAATTTTTTTTTAACAAAAACTTTTAGAGATATGAGCCATTGAAGTGGCGCCTTAAGAAAAAAGGCGAATTGCGGTGACCAGCATTCTGCAAGTATACTTCGTCTGAAATACAAAAATGAAATTGATTTACATTTATTATAAGATAATCTAGTTCGTGATCGAAGGATTTAAAAAAAAAATTTGACAAAATGGCGACCTGTCAAAGTCGAAAGTATGATTTTCGTTAAAAAAATACGGTCGATTTTCAGCTATATAAAAAAAGTTTTGCATAATAAAAAAAATCCTTCGATCACGAACTGCACTTATATGTGTAAATGAAGCACACTAAATTTTAAATAAATCGGTTTAATGGTATTCGAGTAATCGTGGTCACCGACTTGGAAAATGTCATTTTGAGAAAAACGCATTCAAAGTTTCAACTTACTTTTTTTTGTTCAGAAGAAATTTTGTTTCCAATTTACAAAGAGTCATCGATTCCTGGACCATATAATAACTCTTCCGCAGTGGTTGCCGTTTCTAAATCATAGGAAAAGGCCATCTGTCGTTAGGGTCAGGTATACTTTAAGAAAATGCAAAAAAAAAAAATCGATTTTTCGAAAGTTACAACTGGTGTTCCCCCCTTAATTTAAATAATTAAATTAATTTGAAATAATTAAACTAATTTTTAATTTAATTAATTTAATTAAAATTTAAATAAATATATTTAAATTAGTACTAAAAAAATATAAACATATAATAAAAACATAACAATGAATGAAATATAAAGGTAAGAAAATTTTTAATTCAATTAATTCAATAATTATTCCTTTTTGCTTCCTCTGGAGGAAGCTATGTAGTCCTTCAAATTATGAAATTATTAGAAATGCACCAAACAAATTTTTTTCTATTTATAAATGTCATATATAAGTCCCTGATCAATTGTCCGGATGTATGTATGTGTGTGTGTATGTGTGTGTGTGGATCCATTTTTTTGTGAACACGATAACTTTAATACGTTTTAACGGATTTGGCTAAAATTTGGTACGTATATTTGTCACATCAATATCTCAAAATGGACACAATGATTTTAGAAAATACCAACAAAAAAATTTTTTTTGGCATTTTTTCAAAAAAATCGATTTTAATCGAAAAAATTTATTGAAAGCAAAATTAAAGGCAATACATAGTAAAATCGTATTCCTCATATCAAGACGAATCGATTGGTATATATAAAGTTTATATTTCATTGAAATTTAAAGAATAAATTAAAAAATTCAAAATTCAAAAATTCATATTTTAGTTAAAAAAGTTTTTGTGAACACGATATCGTTAATACGTTTTAACGGATTTGGCTAAAATTCGGTATGTACATTTGTCACATTAATATCTCAAAATGAACACAACAATTTTAGAAAGTACCCCCTAAAAAAAATTTTTTTTTTACTTTTTTTCAAAAAATCGATTTTAGTAAAAAAATTGTTTCAAAGCTAAAATATTGCTTCAAATGTAATGTTTTATTTTATTTACCCATGTTTTATTTTCAAGAAAAATCCTGTTGAAAAATCCTGAGCCGAATTTTTTAATAGTAATATAATTTGATTTTATAATATTATTATTATTTTATTTTTTATTACTATTTTTTAATTTTTATAAATAAAGCATATTTGCCATTTACAATGTGCAGAAAAGGTTAAATGATTATACGTTGACAAACCGATTGTTTTTTTTTATCTTCTATCTATATATTTTTTTCAAAATTAAATTGTATTACTTCTTGTTTATTAAAAAATTAGGGTCAAGATTTTTCAAAAGGATTTTTGTTGAAAATAAAACATGGGTAAATAAAATAAAACATTACATTTATTATTACATTATTATTATCTACAATAAATAATTGAATTTTTCAGTGTTTGAATTTATAACAAATTTCTTTTATAAACAAATTCAACAAATTCAAACTAAAAAGATTGAACCGGAATCTGCTGTAACGGAAAAAGCGATTATACCGGAATAAAAAAAAAAGATATATTTTTTGAAATCATTTATCATATTTTAAAAATAATATGTATATAAATTATTAATTTATTGCTTCCTCCAAGAGGAAGCAAATCTTTTGCTTTGCGCAATGAGGAAGCAAAATGTTCATGAAATGAACATAAACTTCTTTTATAAAAAGGGACCCCCATCTTGTTTAAAAAATCAGAAAGAAATCTACTATTATATTTTACCATTCGACAAATATTGAAAGTCGATAATGAAGTGTCACTCATTTTCATAATCTTCTCTTCTTTACCCATAAATTGTCAAGTACAGCAGTATACTGTCAGTTAAAAAGTGATTTTTCGGAAAACTCTTTCCTTTTCCTCGATCGCGGTATTTTTATACTTTCTTTTTCTGTATATGGGCATATCTCTAGAACTTTTAAACTTTATGTTATCGCTCATTATGATACCTTAAGAGTTTTTTAAATAATTTTTCAGTACCATAATTTGACCGATTATAGGGCTTTTTAAATGTATCATGCGTTATATAATTTTTTTAATTATGTAGGAAATGACGAACGTAAGTTAAAGTGGTGAAATCGACAGTTTCTAGTGTGTGATATTGACTGTTTTTTTAGTTTATAGACTGTAACTTTTTTATCGAAACATTGTGTGTCTTGTGGCTTGCAATAGAAGTAGGTGGGAGTATAAAGAACTAAAAAATCCATGAAACAATGATGTGCCTCAAATTGAATAAAAACTATGTAGCTTCAAACTTGCGAGACAACTTTTTCAAAATTTCTACAAGTTAACAGTTAAACTGATATAACTTTTTTAACGAAGGTTTTTGAGTAACGGCACAACGGGATTATATTTTCTACCTAATAAGAAGTAATTTGAACCTATACAGGAATGTGTGCTTCCTTTACACAAAGAATGCAATGACTTCAAACATTAAATTTTAAAACGTAACTCATATCAAAAAACTACATATTTGAAAAGCACATGTTGAATTTTGCTTCTAAATGCTCCCAACTCATTGTAATCTCTTCTCATGCATTATAAAAGTATACAGAAAAATCGTTAACCTTTGCACACTTCATTGAAACTGTATAATTAATAATGAACATAAACCTAAACTGTCCGACGCATAGTTTGTGAACACGCTAAAAAAACTTTGTATAAACTAGCGAAAATAATCTCTGGAACAGTTATAAGTATAGTTAATATCGCCTTAGCGATAATCCATTTTTGCTAGAATAGAGAAAATAAAATTTTCTATTAGATTTAACTATACTAAATATATATATTATGAATAGAATATAAATACAGTATCTCTGAAACAGTATTTATTTTAACTATCATGGAGATATTCAATTTCCTTAAGAAAATGAAAATAGTGACTATTTTAGATATTGTTAAACGTTATAATTAATCTATTAAATAGATTTCCTTATTCTATAAATATTGTACTTTTGTTATGTCACTGTTCATAAATTTTTTAGCGTGAAGAAAAGTAAGTATTAACTAATAGATGTGTTTAAATCTGGCTGATATTTCTCACTCGAAGGTTTTTGGGGTCGCTGCGACTACTAATCTGAATTTTAAATTTTCCAAAATTCAAAATGGCGAATCCAATATGGCGGACGACTTTTTAAAAAAGTGATCCCATTGGCCTCAAATTTGTTACTCGGGAGTTTTTGGGGTCGCTGATTATGAATCTAAACTTTGTTTTTCAAAATTCAAAATGGCGGATCCAATATGGCGGATGACTTTTAAAAAAATTGATCCAATTGGCCTGAAATTCGTTACTCGGGGGTTTTTTGCGTCGCTGACTACGAATCTGAACTTAGTTTTACAAAATTCATAATGGCGGATTCAATATGGCGGATGACTTTTTACAAAATTGATCCCATTGGGCTAAAATTTGTTACTCGGGGGTTTATGGGGTCGCTGATTACGAATCTGAACTTAATTTTTCAAAATTCAAAATGGTGAATCCAAAATTGCAAACAAAATTTTTTAAAAAATTAAATTTTTAAAAATTCAAAAATTGTTATAAACTACATTTACTTATGACTTAATAAGCCATAGGACATAAAATTTTCGAAACTGTAGCATTAAATCATTTTAAAGGTAACAAAAAGTAGTAGCGACCCAAAAAACCCCCGAGTAACAAATTTCAGACAAATTCGATCAATTTTTTTAAAAGTCGTCCGCCATATTGGATCCGCCATTTTGAATTTTGAAAAACTAACGTCGGATTTGTATTCAGCGACCAAAAAAATCCGCGAGTAACAAATTTCAGTCAGTTTTAAACACATCTAGAAATTTTGGGCAGGTTTTTTGCAATAAGGCCCACTGTGCTGCTTAAAAATGTGTAAAAATGAGTTACGCAAATTTTTTTATAGTATTTGATCAATACTGAAGACAATAAAATTTGTTTCACGAATGTGCCATGAAAAAAAATTAATTTTTCTAATATCTCAAAGTTTAAAAGTTCTAGAGATATGCCCTTATATCAAGAATTATGCATTTTCTACCGTTTTTTCAATGTTTCAATAGTTTTTCATATTATTTTAGCAGCTTTTTAAACACGAGAAATATTGCGCATGATTGGGCATAATGCATTGGACAATTGAACAAACACTCCAATTGTCCAAATGCATTTTAGACAATTGAGCAAGCCGTTTGCTCAATTGTCCGAACTGCTATCTTAAAAAATCCTTTTTTACTGGGATAATATTATCCGAATATTTCCTTCATATTATGGTGAAATGTTACCTTTATATATGGTGTTATGATAAGGTACTATTATCTAATATTAGTTACAATATTGCCATGCAACGGACATGTTTATGAGAAGACGCCAATCATAGCACAGGCCTACAAAATTTTGGATTGTGTCAGACCCCGAAATCGAAATAGTCATTTCCGATGTATTTTGTCACGATGAATCCAAAAATGATAACGAAATTGTTCCATCACGTCAGCGTTCTGAGATATTCTAACCTAAAAGCGTGAAAAATGCCGTTTGTGGCAATATTAGACACTCTATAAAATCGTCAAAAAAAATTTTTTATCATTTGTCCAAATTTTAATTAAAAATACTATATTTTCTCTTTAAAAATTTTCTAGACCTGATCCGATGAGATTTTTTTTCTTTAAGGTACAGCCATTTGAATTTTACGTTGCATCAACTAAAATCCCTTTAAAAACGAAAAATAAATTGCAAAGTACTTATAGCACTGAAATTTGTTACTCGGGGGTTTTTGGGGTCGCTGATTACGAATCCGATGTCAGATTTTGAAAATCTGATATTAGATTCATATCAGCGACCCAAAAAACCCCCGAGTAATAAGTTTCAGGCAAATCTAGTAAATTTTCTAAATAAGAGTCCGCCATGTTGAATTTTAACATTTTTGATCTGACATCGGATTCGTAATCAGCGACCCCAAAAACCCCCGAGTAACAAGTTTCAGTTCTATAAGTACTTTGCAATTTATTTTTCGTTTTTAAAGGGATTTTAGTTGATGCAACGTAAAATTCAAATGGCTGTATCTTAGAGAAAAAAAATCGGATCGTATCGGGCCTAGAAAATTTTGTCAGAGGAAATATAGTACTTTCAATTAAAATTTGGACCAATGATTAAAAAAAATTTTTTGACGATTTTATAGTGTCTAATATTGCCAAAAACGGCATTTTTTACACTTTCAGGTTAGAATATCTCAAAACGCTGACGTGATGGAACAATTTCGTTGACATTTTTGGATTCAGCGTGACAAAATACATCGGAAATGACTACTCCGGTTTCTAGGTCTGAAATTTGTAGACCTGTGTAGTCTAATAGAAACGGAACTGACTCGTTTGAATGAAGTGAAATTGATGTAAAAACTTTTTTCCAACCAGATTTTCTTTAAAGTCACACAATTTTATCATATTCTGTCAACGTATGTATCTTAAATATTACAAAAATAAGAAAAATGTTTAAATCAATATAGAAATACGATTGCAAAATGAAAAATTGAAATTTAATGTAAGACAGGTTACAATAATTTTATATACTTTTTCAAGTAAGAAGTTTCAAGAAAATCTGATTGACTTTTTTGAAAATTTGTTTTTCATATTGTATCCGACATCTTACATTATAACAATTTTATTAAATCTTTTAGTAAAGTTATTGAAATTCGGTGTCGCGTCTAAACTGAGTATGGAAGTTACGGTGAATTATTTTTTCTAACCTTGAATTCTTTTCACCTGAATTGTTTGAATTTACGTTTATTGATTCTAGTTGTCATTATAAATGAATAAAGTGATCCCATGTAAAAAATTTACTGAAAGTCACTTCCAGAAATTTTCACAAATTTTTGTAAAAAACCAGCAGATGTACATGAACGACGCGAAACACATAATCCTAAAAGGCCAATGTCTCAAAAGACTCCTACAAATATTGAAAAGTGAGTATTATAAGGGCATATCTCTAGAACCTTTAACTTTAATGTCCCTCGCATATATTTTGGTAATTTTAATAAATTTTTCGTTGGTTTTTGTTGGAAATATTAATGCTTGATACAATCAATCATTTCCAAAAGATTCCACTTTAATTTATTAAATACATAAATAATTATTTCAATTTTAATACGCGATTTTTAACAATGTCTACTTGTCCTTAACCATACTTTCTGATGCTTTAAACGATATAGTTTTAGATTTAATAAAAATTACTAATTCTGAAATATGTTTTTTCAATGTTAATTAATCGGTGAACACATTTTCGCAGTGAAATTAATGTTTTATTAATTGTGAAAAAATTTATAAGCTTTTAAAAGTTGTCCCTCACTTTTAACCATTTCGACCGTAATCATCGTATAATTGATTTTTCTTTTATAAGACAAGCGGCACGTTAAAATAACTTATGGGAAATCAAAGATCAAGTTACTATAATTATTTTGAGACATAATAAATTGATGTGCTTCATGTCTTCAAAAAACTATTATAAGTTAAATAAACGAAAACACGCGTGGACAAAATTTGAAAACAACCGTAATACGATTGATACTTCATGAAAATCAAATAAAAGTATTCGAAAAGTACTTGTATATATTTTCACATGTGCCATTTAACATCCCGTGAATGTGCTTCGAGAAAAAATACTTTATTGCAAAGATAATGTAAAAATATTCATCAATTACGGTCGACCGTGATCGACCGAAATTTTTTAGAAAGAAATTGTTATGTACGAAGTTGCCGATTATAATTTTTTTTATAGAAACTGTCATTAATTATTAAAACCTGAAGGTTAAGTTTTAATGTTTATTTCGAGACATAAAAATGGATCCAAAAAAATTCATTCTGAAAAAAGATAAAATGCGAGAGAAAAGAAAAATAGAAAAGGAAAAAAGAGAAAAGAAATTGGAAAGTTTACGAATATTAAATTTAAATAGAAAAAAGTCTATGAAAATCGTATGGTAAATTTTAAAAATTACAATTTTACATTTTTAAAACAATTCACTATAATAAAAATCTATTTTAAAATGTAATGTAAATATTCAAATAAAAAATTTATATATCTAGTTAATTTTTGACACATGCTTTTATACCCAGTGCATTATTTCAGTATTTTATTATTCATATAAATATTGAAAATATTAAACGAATTTTATTGCTTTTGCTTCCTCGTGGAGGAAGCTATGTAGTCCTTTCGTTTATAAACTTTTTAAAAATGGTGAAAACAAATTTTCCTCTATATAGAAACATGTTATATGAGATCCTGATCAATTGTCCGGATGTATGTATGTGTGTGTGTATGTGTGTGTGTGTGTGTGTGTGTGTGTGTGTGTGTGGATCGTTTTTGTGAACACGATATCTTTAACAGGTTTTAATGGATTTGGATAAAATTTGGTAGGCTTATTTAACACATTAATCTCTCAAAAATGACGAGAGGATTTTTAAAAATACCCCAAAAAAAAAATTTTATCGTCTTTTTTCCAAAAATTTTTTTTTAATTGAAAAAATTTTTAAATCGAAAAATTTAAGGTAATATATAATATAATCGTCTTCTTTATGTCAAGATGAATCGATTGATATATATAAAGTATAGATTTGATTGAAATTTAAAGAATTAAAGAAAGTTAAAAAATCAAAAATTCTCATTTTAGCTAAAAAATGATGTGTTTATTTAAATTCATGTTTATATATGAAATAATTTTATTCCCTGCATTGAAACGAATTGGTTGGTATATATAAAGTATAGATTTGATTTAAAATTTGAGAATTAATAGAAATTGAAAAATCGAAAATTCATATTTTAGCTAAAAAATTTTGTGTTTTTTTTAAATTCAAGTTGATGAATAAAATAATTGTATTCCTTGCATTAAAACGAATCGATTCGTATATATAAAGTTTATGTTACACTCAAAATTAATTAAAATTTTCTTTATTTTTCAAAAAATTTAATTAATTTAAAACATTTTTAACTCGAAATTTTTTAAATCAATCAATTGAATTGGACAAATTCATTGCTTCCTTCACGAGGAAGCGAATTTTTCGCTTCACACAATGAGGAAGCATAATGTTTATGAAATAAACATAAAGGACCCCCTCCTTGTTTAAAATTATAACCCCTTAGAAAATTCCCTTCAACTGTTTTTCATCCTAAAAAGCAAACACCTGTTGAATATTTTTTTGTTACAGGTTAAAAATAATTCTCAATTTGAAATATTTATAACTTTTTGAAGACAACTTGTTTTATCTGTCCACTTGTATAATTGGAAAGCTTAGTTCTTGAAGTTTATGTAGACAGGGTTTCAATACTGTGCTCAAAAAAAAAAAAAAATTTTTTCTTATTGAAAAGTTAAAGGTTTCAAAGATATGCCCATGTATACTATAGACATTTATACTTCGAATTATAGATTAATAATGTAGAATCACATTCTGCACGTATGAAACTAATTTTTTAAGCAAAAGAAATTGTAAAAAAAGTTTTTTTTACCCGAGTTTTTTTTGCTTGAGTACCGGTATAAACATTTTCTAATTTTATTTTAAAGCAGATTTTAGCTTTAAAATACTGTTGGTGAAAAATTTTGAATATACTGATGTGTACCTCTTCAGATCATGCATGGTAGGTCCGATCAGTTTTTATGCCATTAGCATATCTGATCATTGATATTTTCTGAAATACTGGATAACGTACTTCTTTAACTATTTTTTCACAAAGGAACAAACGCGCGTCGCGCGATTATTTTTTTCTACTCAACCTTAAAATTGTATATTTACTTATCTTAAAGCTGATATCATCAGAAGTCTTATCGGTATATACATTTTATAATGGCACTTTTAAGATAAACTACTCATAACATAAGCGTTAGACACTTTGTGAATAGTGAACAAAAACTTTGTGAAATGCACGTTTCGTTAAAAGAAATGTTTCTTAAAAGAGGAAATAGTTTTATTATATGCTTTATTATTCTGCTTCTTCGTAACGTATTATCAGGTATGAATGAAAAAATTTCCTAAGTTATTTAAAAATAGTTTTTTATTATGGCAATTAATATGACAAGTTTTGACCATTGGCATATTCTTTTCTTGTTAAGAACTAACTTTTTAAGTGGTACCCGTCATCTTTGGAAGCAGTTTTCGTGTCTTTACAGATAGTGAGTTAAAATTGTTCTGAAAGTTTTTTTGTCTCTTTATGTTTAGGTCATTTCCACTAATTTTTTCAAAGTGATCACAATGTTTAATGCATAAAAATAAGCTGTCATTAATAACTTTCGAAATTTAAAAAAAAATTCGCATAAGTATTCGATGTATTAATTATTGTATGATATTTTTAAAATAATTTAATTTTATCTAAAATTAATCTTTTATTATTTTATCTATTACTTTATTTTGTGTAAGTTATCTTTCTTTTTCATATTTCATAATTTAAATAAAGAATTTTCTAAATAAAATATGTCTTTTTCTTTAATTTTCAATGGTGGAGCACAACTGTCAACTGTTTTTGAAATGTCATAAATCCAGTATTTTCGAAAAACAAGCAAAATTTCTATTTCCGTTTTAAATTTTAATGAATTCATTATGCCAATTCCCTGGAGAATTAGGAAAACCGTATTCATTCGAACCGAATACACGGAAAGATATGCTATCGAAATTTCAGTCATAAACTTATGGTTGAGATTTCTGGTTGAATTGGTTATACAGTCTATCAACCCTTCTAGAAAAAATCAATTAAACACGATTCAGAACGATTGAGTACAAAATTTTTTTAATCGTTTTGAATTGTTTTCAATTGGAGTATATATTTTTTCAATTGATTCGAATTGTTTTCAATCGTGTAAAATAAGTTAAACTTTTTCAATTGTTTTTAATCGGGTGCTATCGGGAGAACGATATACGCACATGCGCAAATAGTTAATTATATAAGAAAAGTGTTGAATCAAACAGGAAAGATGTTTTTCTTATAAGTCTTTTGTAATATATAGTTTGTTCTATTCGTGCGTATGTGTCAAATATTTAAAATCTAAAGTAAAATTTCTAGTGATATGGATAATGTCAATATGTTTACATATCCTATACATGAACAAATTAAACATGACAATCTTTGAGTTGTTAATACATAACCTCAAAAAAATAAAAATAAATAAATGGGTACGTAAAAAAATACATATAAACAGAAATTAAATAAATAATTAGGTACATATAAAAATAAATATAAGAAAAAATTCTATTCCTTGCATTTTAAAATAATTTCAGTTTTTAATTTTTTTTTAAGAACAAAATTTTTAGTTTTTTTAAACTTTATGTGTCCAGCAGCTTTTCAAAAAAATTTAGCAAAAAAATTATTCAGTATAAATTTTGTTCGAAGTTCACCTAAACTCCTTCCAACAACAAAAAACCATAATTTTTCAATTAAATATTTTCAAAAATTGTAATCAAATTCTTTAAAAAGTTCAATTGTTTTCAATTAAATTTTACAAAATTTCAATTATTTAAAAATAATAAGTCAAAACCTTTCAATTCTAACACTTCCAAAATTGAATTACTTCTATTAAATTCTATAATTATTTTATTTATAAAAAATTTTAACTAATACTTTTTGAAAATTTTATCATAAATTTAAAAAAAAAATATTTTTTATTAAAAACTTTGATTGCAACTCTTCGAAATATAAATTTTTTCTAAAAATTTTAAATTAAAATTCTTTACAAACTTATTTTGTGCTAGAAACGGATGTTAAAGCCGTTACATTTGTATAAAGTTTTTCATTCATTAAAATATTTTCAAAATTTTCAATTTAAAATCACCAGAAATTTAATTATTTCTAATGAATCTTATAATTATTGTAGATCTTCCAATGTTCGATTATTTAAAAAAATTCAATATTGACTGAAATTAAAAAAAAATTTAAGTAATTCAATTTAAAACAATACTTGATGTATCTGTCAAAAATTATTTTTTAAACATTTTTTCGATAAATTATAAATGAGAAACATTTCGTCTTGTGCAGTTTCATTCATAGATAAATTAAAAAATAACTTTTAATTAATTTTTGTTAAAATATATGATTTTCTTCTGTGGTGACAAATACATTGATAAATATTTTAATTTTGTAGTTCGGAAAATAATCTTTGAAATAATTATATACTAGCGATATATTCCTCGCTCGCTGACGCTCGCTCGGTTGAAGTTTTACTTTTTTTTCTTTACGTATTGTAGTTTATTCATATGTATATTTATTTTTTGTTTTAAATTATTATTTCATTATAAATTATAATAATTCAATTTTTTTAATTTTCAAATTACTTTTTAAAAAAAATTTAATTTAATGTAATAAAACAAATTTTATATGTCTGTTGACTTAAATTCTGATTTTATTCTACAATATTGATTGTAAATTGTTTCTCTTTTTTTCAATTGCTACTAAATGCTATGTAAGGAAAACTGGTAAGGGCCTTACCACTTTTCCTAACGAATACCCTACTTTTTAATATTATATAGTATTCAAATTTGTAAATCTAAAAATATATTTTTAATTCAATATAATTAATTAGTACTATTAATTGATTATTTTATTAAATATATAATCGAACTGATCTTCGTATTTATCAAAGCCAAAACGCATGTTAAATCGTTTTAGCTATCTCCGTAATCAATGATTTAAAAATCTAAAAGGGTTATATCTTCGGAAGTGTGCATTGATTGAGTGCATTTGTGTAAAATTGGGAGTGACATGAGATGCTTTATTCTTTGTTTTTTAGAAAAATTGTCAAGAATTTATAATTTAAAATTCAAATTTTATAAATATTTTTAAAAAAATTTTATGGTGTTGCTGTTAATGAAAAATTATAATACAATGTAATGAATATAAACATGAAACATCAATTCAAAAAACAAGATTTATTGATTCATTATATCGAAAAAAATAAACATATATCAAATTTTAAATTATTATTGTTAAATAATAATTAAATTCTTAAATCATAAGAAGTCTTATTTGTGTCAAAGTCATTTGCGACGCCATAATTACAGTCATGCATGAAATTATTAACATTTTTTCATTTTCCATTTCCATTTTTTAATATTATATAATAAAGGAACCCAAGCAGCACGGTGTATCCCCTCAACATCCCTTGAATATCACCGTGGAATATTCCAATGATTTTCTAAGAAAACCAAAAAAAAAATATATATCCAAGCAATATTGAGGGAATATTCCAGTGATATGGATGAAATATTCCACGGTTATATTAAATTAAATTTTTTTTAATCTTCCTGATTATTTAAATAACAATTTATAACACAATTCCATGATTTCAACACATTAATAAAGTGGTTCATTTAATGAAAATATTTAGCTTCTTCATCTTGATTAACAGAACTTATACTATTAGTTTTAAAAAATTAAAAATTTTCATTTTTTGTGAAAAATAATGCCAGCAATTATATTCTGACAAAAATCAATTAAAATGTTTATATAGGAAAAAGTTATTTAAAAAATTCAATTAAAAAATAAGGAGAAATGTAAAAGATATCGAAAAATGAAAAAAAAATTAAGAATGAAGAAATAAAATTACAAAATATTGAAAAATGTAAAGAATATCGAGAAAATTGTAGAAAAAGAAAATTAGAAGCCAATAATAATATTAATTTAAAATGTTTGAAGTTAGCAAATAATATAGTAATTTGGATGTTATTTGTTAATTTTGTCCAGCTAAGCATTTTCTTTCAGAAATGCCAGAGGATAAAAAGTTTAGTACATGTTGTCATAAAGGCAAAGTTTTGTTAACTGAATATCCATTACCCCCGGTAGAATTAAAGGAAATAGTTTGTGGTCAAACTGCATTTAGTAATCATTATAAAAAATGTATAAGAAGCTACAACAATACAATAGCGTTCGCAACCTTTGTGCAACATATGCTTCTCTACAAAATAAAGGTCCTCAAGTCTTTAAAATGTGTGGTCAAATTTACCATAACACATATTCATTACATCCCAAAGAAAATGAATTCAGAAAGTATGGTCAACTGTATATAATTGACAATGAATTAGCTACACAAAGTCGTAAAGATATTAATAATAACTGCAGAAATGATATTTTATCTAATTTAGATAAGTTGATCAGAAAAATTAACCCTTATGCTAAAGCGTACAAAATGATGTACGAAGTAGAAAAAGAAGAACAAGAATTTGTTACTAATAATAATAATCTACCTCGAGAAATTAAAATGATTATGAAAAGAGATATTAATTTAGATAAAAACCGATATAACTCTCCTGTTACAAATGAAGTTGCTGTTGTATTTGTTGATGAAAATGATGAACCTCCAATAAAACGCGATTTTTGTGTATATTCTAAATTTGATAAACCAATTAGCATCCCTGCAATAAGTAGATATGTAGATCCAATGACATATCCTTTAATATATCCTGCAGGAGGTAGTGGTTGGATGCCGAAATTATTATCAAAAGATCAAAGAAACAATATAACAGCTTTACAGTTTTACTCATTTAAAATTAGTGTTAGAGATGAGTTTAGTCCATTTCTTAATTTAGGTAAATTAAGCCAACAATTTATTGTCGATGCTTTTGTAAAAATTGAAGGTGCAAGATTATATTTTATAAAGAAACAACAACATATCTTGAGAACTGAATTATACTCTGGATTAATGGATTATTTACATAAGAGAAAAGAAGAGAAGAAAATTGTTCAAATTCGTAAAATGTTTATATTGCCATCTAGTTTTGTTGGAAGATCTAGAGCATTACAACAAACTTTTAGTGATGCAATTTGTTTAGTTCAAAAATATGGTAAACCTGATTTGTTTATAACTATGACATGTAATCCTAAATGGAAAGAAATTACTGATAATATTAAAAAAATGAAGATGTAATAAATAGGCCAGATATAGTTGCAAGAGTATTTAAACAGAAAGTAAAAGAATAGCTTCATAAAATTACTGTGAAAGAAATATTTGGTACTTGTATTGCTTACAC